CAGTTTATTTTACTAGTTTGTATAGAACAACTTAGAGGCGTCTTTTGTCATTGCATAAATAATACAGACTTAGGAAAATGTGATTGACCGAAGCATAGCTAATTTGCTTTGAGTCAGTCGCATCATAGCACACTTGGGTCGAAAACAAACAAACTCGTTTTTCTTTTGGCAGAGTCGGTCAAGTTATATTCAGTTTGTTGCAAACACTATCGAACCCATTTTTTTTGGTTGCATTGGTCAAAACAAAGCCAGCTGGAGTCAATTTGGTCAAAAATTAGCACGCTTGAGTCAAACAAGTGTTTCTTTCTGTCCTTATGGTCGAAACTTAGCCAGTTTGAGTCAAATTGGTCGAAACACAGCACGCTTGTATCGAATACAACCAAGCGCATGTTTACTTCGGCCGATTTGGCCAACACAGCCAGTTTGGATGAACTCGGTCGAAACAAAGCCATATTTAGTCATATCGGCCAGAACATGACTCGAACTAGACGGACGTCAACTGGGTACATAATTGAACCCTGTTTCCTCTTGATTTGAATTTGAAACTAGTTTCATAAAACGTTTTTTTTTTTTTCAGTGACGAAGAAGGTGCTCCTTCGAAGACGCAAATGTAGTAAAGAGCGAGCACTTAGATTACTTAATTGTACGTTGGGATTCTTGACATTTTGCAAGATGGACGACTTATTATGCGAAAAAACTATCAGCAGGTTTCACAGCTGCACTTTTATAACCCAAAAATTTATTTTTGAAAATTTTTCTTTGTTCTTTGTTGTTTCGATCTAATTGTTTTCCCACTCACTGCAAAAAAAAAACTTATTGACTGAGTAGTTTTGTTCGTTGTAAGTAACTGGAGCCTTTCTCTGACAATCAATTTCCGTATAACTTCAGTTCTTATAGATAGGCTCAACTGTATCTAACAACTCTTTCACGTTTTCATATTGCTGCAAGGTCAAATTTTTCTTGGTGGAATTTCATTTCTTGAGCATAAAGTTGACATAGCAATTTTGGTATTGTTTGTATAAAAAAAACTTGATTTTACAATTTAACAATCGGAAAAACTACAACAAGCTTATTATCATGCATTCAAGTGAAACGTTTTTTTTCATATATTTAATAATAATGTACACTTGTTCTATCCACAATCAATTTTGTAACTGCAAAAGTTGATTCCACAATAAAGTGTTTTCTCTCTCTCTCTCTCTCTCTCTCTGATTTGAGGCACACCAGGATTACATCGGCAAACTGGCATTTATTTCTTCAAACTTATCTAAAACCAAATTTAAAGGTTTTCTTTAGAGAAGTTTCATTTAGAAAAAAAGATTTGTCTTAAATTTTCCATATACGGAAAACTTATGATTAAATTTTTTATAGGTATCATTAAAGGAGTGATAACCAATCTTTTCTGTTTGAATTATTTTAGTTTTTTTCGTGAATATGATTTAGACAGCCGCTTAAAAGTTTTTATTTGGTCAGTTTTTTTGTGTATCTGATTTTTTAATGCTTTTATGAGAGGTTTTTTAAGTAACTTGTTTTTTTTATATATTTGAAATTATCTCAAATCTTGCGTTTGTTGTTCCCTATGCTAAAAGGTTTTTAATTACGTCAAACCTATATCCGTATGACAAAATTGAGGTGCCACACCGGCAGAAACGATGTGTACGTACCAAATTGTAGAAAGAAAACTATGTGAGGTGTAATATCTATGATATTACTAGATTGAATACCAGCTGCTCTAAATTTGATCTTATCTTTCACCTTGAAGGTTGTCTGAATGTAACACTCAAAAAAACTAATAGTGATTGGCTGCAGATATTGGAATCTAGATTACAAACTAGTTAGATTTTCAATAACAATCTAAATTAATCAACCATAGGGGGGAATTAGCTAAGGCTAAGTTTACCTTGAGCTGAGTTATACTCGTAAAATCTGCCTAAATAAAAAGTGGTCAAATGAAACATGAAATCACATGACTGTTCCACTTACATGAGCCGTGGTGAAGTGTTTTTCGCACTGGAATTGCAAGGATGATAGTCGATTATATTGAATTTTCAGTGTTTGTTTTGATGAAATTCAAAAACAATCAATTATACTCGATTTAAAATGATTTTGAAAACGTTTAGTCAATAAAATTTATTTTATTCAATTGTAATGAAATATGATTTTCTTTCTAAAAATTGTCTGAAGTTCAAATACACCACAGTGTTTTCAAAAACTGAGTGTTGCTTGTTGGCTTACCTATTGCTGCAATCAGAAAAACTCAAAAATGAGATGCACTCTGCCAAGTAGCGGACTTAGAAGGGGGAGAGGATAGTGGGGCGGTTCCTCTTCTCCTTCCTCCCCCACCCTCAGTGATTCGATCACCTGACTACCCGAAGGAGCATTTGGAGCATCTTAAGAAATCCACTTGTTGCTGGCTGCCGCTAAAAGTTGTGTAAAGCGCCTTTTGCTCCATTATAAACTAATTCTGAGGGAGTGCGCTCCAAAAAAAACGCAATTTGGTTGTCAAAACTCTCCAAAAAGTGCCTAAAAACGTCTTTTTTGCCTGTTTTTTTTTCAAAACCTCTTGTGACCGGGTCGTTATAGTGCTTTGGATCTTTTTATTGCTTTAGGAGAGCTCGGAAAATATTTTTGGTCCACCTGAAAAAACCTCGACATGTTTTTCGTCAACTTTTCAAATTCCCCCTACCCCTCTCTCTTTTGAAAAATCTTAGATCCGTCCCTGACTGTACTTAAGAAAATTTTCATCAGTTTTTTCCTATCACAACTTTTTCTCGACATTTTTTAAATTTTGCAACTTATGCTGACATTTATTCACACCCTTATCCAATTTTTCATTTTTCCCTTATCAAAATTAGGTCCCTCTTTTCCTCTTCATCACCCTAACTTTTTTACCACCACCCATCCGCCAGGTAACTCACTCCCCCCACTTGGTGTATAAAAAAGCGTGTCTGTGGGGGGTAGTTACCTGCAACACTCCTCTTTGTTTAGGCCACCGCCTCCAACATTTACGATGTGTGAAAGTAGGGGTGGATGTCAATCCTTGAGGGGGGGGGGGGGTGTTTTAAACTGAGATGAACATGTTCGTTCGGTTTCTAGTTTTGCAGAACGTTGAAAAAACGGTAATCTTTTCAAATCTACAAAAAACATTAGATTTTCATGATTTTATTGAACAAAAAAATCGATTTTATTGATTTTAAAAATGGGTTTTACTCATTTATATTGGATTAGAATAGATTTTTCTAAGATTGAGAATAATCGAATAGAAATCCACTAAATATCCAATTTCATGGTTGAATGTTTCATGAAAAGCGATTATTTTAATTGATGTTTTTGCCAACTTAATCCATTAAGTTTGTTTATTAGCCATGAAACTTTAGTGCGGGTTACATCTCCATCTATCAAGGGAAAGGTCGGATCTTGGAAAACCAACATGATTAATGCTCGTTGCTTGAGATCGAAGTATCATTGCCCAGACCAGGAAAACAGCCAAAAAACTGCATAGGCCGAGGTGATACAAAAACTGCATAGACCGTGTTTTGAATTTCAATGTCGGGCCCATTTCAGTGATCGACCAAAAAAATGAAGTTTGAGTCAAACAGAAGTTTGAGTCGAAAACCCAAACTCAAAAAATACCGCGAGGACAGTCTTAGTATACTACGAGTACGGTCAAAACAAGCCGAAATTTAGTCGAACACGGTCGAAACATGCCGATCGTACCGCGTTAACACGACGTCAAAAACGAGAAGTTCTTTCAAATATCCACTAATTTTTGTGACATTCTCGAATCAAATTGAAAACTAAAGCAACCATAAAATTTTTAAAAGTAGTTCATCTTTACAAAAGAATTAAAGAGCAAATAACACTGAAATGTTGAAAAAAAAACACCTGAGATATTACACAGAAAAGCCTAAAGTAAATAGTTCATTTTTGGATAACTCTTATTAAATTGAAAATAGAAACATACCCGAAATTGGTTGAGACGATCAAAACATATCTCGCTTGGGTCGAGCAAAGTCGAGCTATTTTTTTGGTGGAGATGTTCGAAGCATACCTTGCTTGAGTCCAGGTCAGTCGAGCACATTTTTTTGGTCGAGAAAGTCAAAACTGAACCAAAAGTGAGCACCTCGACCCGGGTAATCTGAAGCAAAGCCGCTGTTGTCGGTGAAGAGCTGAAAAACTCGCATTTTGTTCCTGTATCTCGCGGATAAAACGTCTTAGTTTCCAAAAGCCTACAAGAAAATCAAATCAGGGATTTGTATGACTATATTGTCAGATCAAATACTTTGTATTCGTTTTTATTGGCATTTTAAAAACCACAGGAGAATGTCGCAAAAGCTTTATTGTAGCCATTTGTTGTAGTTAAAATTTCAGATTTATCCTATTTGGTATCAGTTTGCAAAAACTATGAAATACTAAGAAAACATGAAATACTGGCAGAGAAAATGACAGTGTTCTCAATTTGATTACCTGAATTTCATTTAAAAAAACGTGTCAATCTTCAGTTCTTAAAACAGTTCCCCCAAAATAGTTTGAAGTTTTTGTATGAGAGCAATACTTGAACTTGAGAATTTTCAGATACACTTCCAGGGTTTGAAGTATAAATCCAGCACGTCCCATCTGTAAATTGCCAGACATTAGTGTTTGCTCGACTTTGCTATTTTTCGGCTAAAAAATGGCACCGTTAACCGTTTCGGTCGAATCATGAGCCGAGGACCTCGTCCTGCAAGCTTGATTTGAATTTTAAAAATTGGTTCCCTCATTTCGAGATTCAACTGATGTAACATGCTTTCTAGAAAAACTATACTAAAGAACAGTAGTGGTAGGTTGAAAATGCGAATCCGGATATTGGATTCGCATTCAGATGCGAATCCGAATGCGAATCATTTTTCGGACATTTTGATACAACTGAACTGGTAATGAGCAATATTTCACATCATGAAATGCAAAGTTTAATGTGTGTTTGAATATTTACTTGCATAAAGGCCATGGTTCGAAATAGTTAACAGTTATTATGATACTATTTGATATCAAATAACTTCTACCTATTCAAGTCTTTTAAGCTTTTGACGGCATATTTCGAAAGCGTTTCTTGATGACGAACATTTGATCATTTGATACTTAATACTTTGTTCCGGATGAATCCTCAATTTTTCTTAGGCTTGTTATTTTTAATGTTATTGCTTCCCAAAACAAATTCAGCGAGGTTGTTTCCTAAAGCTAGCGGAAAAGAAAACTCAATATCAACCACTGCAGCGAGGAGTCAGAATTTCTTAATGGTGGATGGTTGGAATGCCTCACATGAGAGACCATTTTTTGCCGTACTCACTTTTAGACACAATCTAAACTATTGTGGAGCTGCAATTATTCACAGGTTTTGGATAATAACTGCTGCTCATTGCGTATTTGCAGCTAAAAGTAAGTTTCTACCCGCATTTGGGCTCAACTCCAACGTTTGGAGAATGGAGGGAATGTGTCTGATCGATTCATTGTTTCATTCAGACCCATTTGGATTTTCTAGCGAACAAAATTTAAAAAATTATTCATGCAAAAGCTTCGATACTTCTACTTCTACGAAAAATTAAATTTTCGGGCAGTATGCAACAATTAACGAGACTGCCATTCTCATTTTTGTTAATCATTCGCTCGCAGCGAAATATATTGTTCCTGTGTTACATCGGCACCAAGTAATGAATCCAGCAGCGAAATCATTTCAAGTCAAATTGACTCAATATCGTTTGTCCTTTCACTGCATAAGTATGCGCATTGTAACTGATATTGGGTGTGTTAGAAAACTTCAGTAAAATTTAACAAGACTGCTCGTATCGAGGCGAAGCCCTGAATGTTCCGACTGCCTTTAAGGTTTATGGAGCAGCAGTAATGACATTAAAAAATTACATGAAATAAAATAAAATGAAATTTTTTTCTGAAATTTGAAATTTTTTATGAAAATCATCCCAGCCACACGCCATATAAAAAACAAAAAGAGAGATTTCGTTCCTTGTAACAAACCAATTATGGCAAATAAGCTTCGTTCAACCAATTTGGAATCATTTTAAGACTGATTAACTCTCCGCTTACGCGTTAATAGCGCGAAATATATCGCGCGTTTATTGTCCCAAATTGGCCAAAATGGCAATCTTTAAACCCCCATAATTTTACCAAAAATGATCACAAGTGAAATATCTTTTCATATTTGAACGCAGGACAACTATAGCTTTTTAATTTAAAAAAACGTCAAAAATGGCTAGTTAAAAAGTCGAAATTTGTCTGAAGAAAAAAAAACCCACCCCGAGCACAAATATTCCGTTACTTTCGTATCGAAAGTCGGAACAATAAGTTTCTTGCATCTTATCTTACTGTTTGTATTTAGTTACATTACAACACTCGCCAAAACCAGCAAAAGAACGGTAAAGGAGAAAATTCAGCTTTGTCTAATTTTTTTGTGAACTTTTCAAGATATCTAGGGGATAAATAGCATATTTAGGTTTTATTTTCATCATGAATCGTAGAATTTTTCTGATGCAAAGTGTATAATTAAAAGACTGATCTTTTGATTTAACATCTTGAAAATCGTTTTTCATACCAAATACTCGAATAAATATTCATGTCAAAAAATCTTAGATTTTTTAAGTTTCATTTAAATTTTTTTTCGGAAATTAGTAATCAATTTTTAGTTTTGTGATATTATGTTTTGCCCTCGAGGTTTATTCACTTCTCCTCTACTTGAATAAATTTTCAACCATTTTTGATCTCCAATATTGCAAATAACTCAGTTTTGAAGGTACATCGAATTTTTTTATGACGAATAAGAACGTTAAGACATTGAGACTAATGCTTTTTTCACGCGAGGTATATTTAACATTCTCTAAAAAATTAATTTGAAAAACGGTCAAAATTGACAGCTATCATTCAGGGTTTGTATTTGTAAACGAATTCAAAATTGTTATATAGAAAACTAAGCTGTTTAGGAAACTGTACTCTCCACAAAAAAGAATAGATAAGTTAACAGAAAAAAAAGTCGACATTTTTTCAATCAGTGGAGAAACTGACTGTTTGAAATCTATAGAGAAATTTTATCTTGAAATCGCCTTCCCTACTTAATTTTGCTCGCTCTTATTTTATTCGAATTACCTTACTGATTTCAATCATGCTCTCTAGTCTGAAAATTTGGAAATTATTAGGGTTATTACAGTGCTATTCCAGCCCTGAATTAGCATTAATTTTGCGCTGATCTAGCCCTAAAACTCCAGTTTTTAACATGAGCAAATTTTTCCGAGTACGGATAACTGGTCTCTGTATCTTTATTTCATAAGGTGATAATTATCTATGACAGATCAACCCCAGTTAGTAACTAAATCTGATCAGTTTGTTGACTTTTTATACAATTTATAACTTTTTACATAATCTTTCGAAGAGCTTAAAGAAAAAAATAATCTTTTTTTTCTTAAAAAAATTGGCGGTTTGAAAAATTTAAATTTGACAAACGTGGGATGAATCCCGCAAAATATATTGCGTTTTTAGTAGCGCAGCGGATGAATGCGTTCCAAATTAATAGTGAAAATTGAAAAAAAAAAAAATTTGTTTGTTTTTTCATTTTTCCAAATATTTTTCTTTAAATTGCCTTAAAATGCAGTCCGGGACATTAAGGGCTTCACCCTAGCATACTGTCAATCTTGTTATTTTTCTTTTTGTTTCAGCCAACGATATCGCTGTGGAAATTGGTCACTTTTTATTTGAAGCGACGACCAATCAACGCTACCGTGTGGCGAAAAAATTTATTCCGCACAGGTAATTTCGCCGTCAGTTTTTGTTAGGACTGTCTTCTTTTGTTCCCCTCAAAATATTGAAACAAAGGAAATTTAACCAGTTTTAGCAATTTTCTAACACTGTGGTATAAAACTCAACCATTTTAGGTTTCATTTTCTTTAGTGACATTTGTGAAAGAATGAAAAGATTTAGGATAATTGTGTACAGTGCCGATTTAAATTAACCTGACAAAACGCGTTAAACTTGAAATTTAGGTGAAAACTTATAAAGATAAAACTTGCTTAAAATTTTAGCAGATTTAATATGGTGTATTTTGAGTTGCAAAATTCGGGCCCAAAATTTTACCCCAAAAATGGGTCATTTTGGCTTTTCTTAGTTAATCAAAATTACGCAAAAAGTACCCAGTCGATCACTGTGATAATTAAATCAAATTGAGCCCCTTAGGTAGCCCAACAAACTTAAAGAATGTTATAATCTCCAAAAAATTTTGCAAACCGTTCAAAAATTGTTTTTAAATAAATAGTTGGTGTTTTATATAGCAAAAACGACCTTTTTTGTCTATCAAACAAAATAAATTAACCTAAACAATGTTTTGGAGAATATACCTCTTTAAAGTTTGTTGAGCTATGTAGGGTGCTCACTTTGATATAGTTTTTTCTGTGATCGACTGGGTATTTTAGGCGTATTTTTTGATTAACTAAGAAAAGCCAAAATGACCCATTTTTGGGGTAAAATTTTGGGCCCGAATTTCGCAAAACAAATTACACCATAATAATTCTGCTAAAATTTTAAGCAAGTTTTGTCTTTATAAGTTTTCACCTAAACCCAACCCAATTTGAGAAAAATGCGTTTTAAATTTCAAGTTTAACACGTTTTGTCCGGTTAATTTAAATCAGCACTGTATCTGCACAGCCAAATAAACGAATCGCCGAAAAGTTTTTCTGTCGCTCAAGATCCACAAACTCAGCGCATTTCTGTGACCAAAAACGACAAACGCTGAAGCACTATGTGGCAAAAAGTTCATACCAAACATGGATATTGACGTTAAGTTTTGTTTGGTATGTCTTCTTCTATTCAACTTAAAGGAATTCAGAAAGCAAGCAAGGATAGTCGGGTACTGCGCAAACAGCACAAAATATTCTGACTACAGTCTTAAAAGAATACAAAGTTTTTTTTTTTAAAGTTGGAATAGTTTTTTCTGTATGTTGTGATAAAACGATCTGAATTAAGAAATAGAACTTAGGCGTATTTAGAGGCATAGTAAAATAAGTCAACTGTAAAACATTTTGTAAAGAAAATTGACTAGAAAAAAATTCAAAAAAAAATTGCAAAAACTTCAAAAATTTTTTTCCAAATTTTGTTGAAGAAGCAGTTTGAATTTTCAAGTTTTTGATGCACAAAACTGCGCTAAAAACTCCAAAAACTACCTTTGCATGAGTGAAACTAAGTTTTCATGGCTTAAATATGCTATTGTAAGCCTACAGGGTCAACTTATTAGCTCGAAACTAGACCAAATTTCAAAAATTTTAAACTGGTTTTGCCTCGACACTGTGAAAAATTCGAATCACGAATGAAAGCGTTTCTATATGATAGATCACTCAACTCAGTCCGATGATTTTTTTGGTTTTGCGGGATTTTGCGTGAAAAATTAAAGAAAAAAAACTAAAACACACCCGAACACAAAGGTCGGAACTATAATTGAATCGGCTGGGCATTTTTTAAATCATTATCGCTCGAAGTTCAATCAATCAAATGTCAGCAATTAAGGTTTTAGGTTATTTAAATCACATTTGAGCATATACACTCAAAGGTCAACCAAAGAGTCTAAAACTTAAATTGCTGGCATTTGATTGGTGGGTGCAAATAACCCGATGGCCGTAGTTCTTTGTTACCTGGTACACAAAAAGATCCTTTGTTGACCGAATATATCACACACTGATTTACACGGACAATACCACTAGCGCTGTATGTCACACAGTTTTTTTTTGGCTATCCGATTATTCGACTCTGTGATATTTGTACGAAAAATCCCTTAAAATTGCCTAAAAATTGACTAGAAAAAACGTTCGCAAAAATTTCAGCCTCGGAAAAAACTAAAATGGCGTGATAGATTCTACATGGGTATAAAAGGGAAGACAATCCCACTTGTTAGAATTCAGAACTCAGCGTTAATTGTAGTTGCATAACAGCAAGCATACATTCTACCAAACCGGCAAACCTGTATCCAGATTGTAAATCACCTAACACTTGGCTAGTAGTTTGAGCCATAAAAATGTATCACATTACTTCTCAGGCAATGTAAGGGAGATTATTATTCATAATGTTACTGAAAACCAACTCGCTTTGAATTCTTTCGAGTCGACCAACTTGAACTAATGAATGAACTCTGATTGAATATGTTTCATAGCTTAAGTTGGTATCAATTTTTAGCCAACCAAATTTCAAGTTATTGCATGTTAACTAGAATTAAAATTATTTAAAAATAATTAGTTTTTTATTTTGTTTTGTAAATTTTAGTTCAGAAAAAATTTTTCCTTCTAGGTTCAAAATGCAAAGGGAGTACAGAAATGACATTGCACTGTTAAAGTTATCAACTGAAATATCAAATGGTGAACGTATTTTACCATTATGTTCCAATTTTCTTCCTCCTTTTGAAACCTTACCTCATGTTTTGGGATCATGCGGAAAAGGGACAACTTCCAGAACACATTACGATATCCCATATGTTCTTCAAGAAGCTTTCTTTTATGAAAGTCTTTTCGAATCAAACACGCAGCCGCTTCAACTTCAATTTTGTCGTGAAGATCAAGTTTGCGTAGAAAGCGCAACCCCGGGCACGGCTCTTTTTCATTATTTGTTTGGTAATTTTTTCAACCCAAAAACAAGTTTTGATCACATGGGCTCTACACAGCTTCGCTAATGTATCTATTATTGTAGATTATTTGAAAAAAAAGCATTTTTGCAATCATTAAATTAATTGAAGGGAATTTGTCTAAACTGAATTTAGAATCTGAACGGAATTAAGAAAAACCTTGTTTTAACCTCTGCGTGCCACCAGTTTTTTGTTAAATCAAAATTTCCCATAAAAAGAAGATATATTTTCTAAGGACAAAATTATTCTTTTGCGATACACTTTAGGGTTGACAATTGATTGGAATTAAATCATTCTGACGAAGAGTATCAAACAATTTATAGCCCCTATTTAGATCCTCTTGAATTATTATTTTCAGGTTTCTTTAACGGAAGAAGATCAAGTAAATTGAGCGAAAGTCTGTTTCTTGTGAAGTAAATTCACCAGATGAAAAACTGTCAATAAAAATTCATGAATATCAAAACTAAGTAGCCAGCAAAACCACTACCCAGAAATACAAAAATTACTTGGTACTTAATTCTAACTTCAAAGAATAAAGTTTAATGCAAAAGTTGATATTCCATAATAAAATGGTAAAAGGAAAAATAGCCAAAAAGGAGCCAATATTTGTTACTTTGACGATGGCAACCCTCTCTATTTATTTAAACTTTGCAGTGATACTCCCAAATGTTTATATGGTGTGGCAAGTTATTCAAGAAGTCGCAATGACACCCCAGGTCAATTTTGCAACAACGGAAGCTTCTTTGCAAGTGTTCCCCGATTTTATACATGGATAACTGTGACAATGGCGATTAACTAAAGTGAAAAGATTGAAATTGTTTTGGTTTTTTCTACTTCTGCAACAGGACCAGTTGAATAAAAATAAAGCGAAAGCAATTTGAGTAGTCAGAAATCTGTCACTCTATCAGGTCGATACTTCAGATTTTGTCATCAATTTGACATTTTGTCATTTAGTTTTTCTGTCTTGAAAAGAGCCTCCGTTTTCTTGGTGAATAAAACTTAGATGTTTGTGATTCAACTTTTGATTTCGCTATTGAGTATTCATTTAGTTATCTGAATTCTTTCAGAGTACGATTTTCCATAGATTCATCAGAATAGAAACAGGAAAAAGACTCAAATCAAGATCACGTTTTGGTTATCTTAGTCTATCAAGAAAAGACGAAATTGATGCTCATAATTTATATACAGGGGTGGATCTAGGATGTTCTGAGCGCCCTCCCCCCCCCCCCCCCTCCCAGAACACTAGCAGACCTCATTTACAGGAAATGTTTGGCGCCGCAGGAGAATTTTTGAAAAAACAGGTCAAAAAAGGCGTTTTTGTGAACTTTCGGATATATTTTGATTGAAAAACCGCATTTTTTGAGCCCGCTCTCCTCACAATTTTGGCGCAGAAGGCACTTTCAGAAACTTCAGAGTCGGTCAGCCAAAAACTGATTTCTTAAAAAGTACCAAAAGGGGACCCCCTAAAGCCGCCTTTGCATATATGCAGGAGGTTTTTGTAGCTAGAAAGCAAACACAACTAATTTATGTGTAAAGTTTGTTGTAAAAAAGTCGCGTGCCAAATGATAAATCATTGTCTAGTAACTTTTAGAAAACTTTTGCTCATTTTCTCTATATATATATTTTAAGTTCTCTCAAAGAATGAGTAGGTTCAATTACAATGCTTAAAAAATCCAATCAATTCCCAAATAACGGAAATTGGGATTGTTATGATTTAAAATTGGCTATTATTTTTCTAGGTTAATAAAAGGTGCATCAATGAAATGAAGGCATATATTTGTTCATTGCTTTTTATCACGCCTTGAATTTTGCTCTTGATAAAAATGGATACGTATGCGCACAACCGAATAACTGGTTAGCGATTTTTTTGTCGCGTAATACTCAAAAACTAAAAAAAATTGTGACCAAACATGAAAAGCATTGAATAACCAGCACAATATGTTACTATCACCGAAAGTAATTGGTTGTTACTTTCCATTGTCAAGTGCGCGAACAATTTTTCTCCAAAAATTTTGTTAAAACGTTTTCAGCTATCTGGTAACAAATTTTTGGTTATCGAGAGGAAAAAACAGCCACAAAAATTGAAAAATTGTTGATGAAATATTGACCCCTGGAGTTAACGAAATTGGCCCAATTGATTTTAAATGGGTTCAGAAGTCAAAAAGTTCAGCCTTCTAGTCTTTAAGCTTAATTATGGCTGCATAGCAGCAGGCAGACAACCTGACAAACAGTTAACTCTGTAAGCAGGAAAATATCTCCTTTTTTGGCAAATGAAATTAGCCATGAAAAGATACTATATTCCTCCCCGTATTAGGCAACTTATTTTTTTTCAGATATTTTTTTCGCAAAACTAAACTAGCTTCCAGTTTTTCGGCATGAAAAAGTCAAAAAACTTTGATTGAATGTTTCACAACCACGCATGGTATCGATTTTGAGCTGATGCCTGTTTTAGAGAAATAAGTGTGGAAATGAAATTTGTTTTTTTTTTGCTTCCACAGGAAACAAAATTGTTCCAGCTATCGAATGCAAATTGAGTACAGAAAAGACATTGCACCGTTGAAAATAACTATTGAAATACCGTTTCACCCTTTTCTTGCCCTTTTCGAAAGCCCAAATTTTCTTGCCCCTTTCGAAGTTTTCTCATCTCCTGGGATCTTGCGGAAAAGGGACTTTTTCGAGGACCCATTTTTATTCGCCATATGCGCCTCGAGAAGCCTTTTCTTACAATACTGTTTTTGATTAACTACTCAGCCAAATGAACTTCAATTTTGTCGTACGATCAAGTGTTCCTTGAAATCGTAACCCTTAGCATGGTTCTTTTTCCTTATTTGCTTTGTTTTTTCCTAAATCAAAGAACAAATTGCGATTAGATGGGTTTGATTGCTTCACTCTGATTTAGATGAGTTTCTTAACATCATGAGAAGATGTGAACTTGATCTCTTTGCGTTGGCTCTTCGAACAATAGCCGGAAATATAGAAGCTTTAAATTTGATAGACTCTAGTATTCAGTTTTTTTGAGCTTTTTTAATACCATAATATCTAAAAAAAATATATTCGGTTAAGTTTTATTTTGGTTTTGTTTTGAAATGGATTGTTTTTTTATTCAAAAACCAATCCCTTCTTACTCCTGCGCTTATAAAGGCCGGAATTTTTTGAGATAAAATCTCGAACAGAAAATTTTATTTGAAAAGGAGAAGATCCTGAAGTTGAACGAGAGATTTTAGTTTTGTTGATATTGAAGTGCCATTAAATAATGAGGTGAAGACATGTATCTGTTTCGTCTTTTTCTCTTTCATTTTATAAAAATCAACGTCTGAAAATTCTTTTCCCACGGCTTGATTTTTTGTTTCTTTTTTTTTTGAAAATTTGCTTTGAAGTTCAAAATCATATGCTAAAGTGGCTCCAATACCAAAAAACTAAATGGCGCAAAAATCGGGTCGACTCTGAAACTCATGCCAGAAGTGGAACAAAAAATGTTCATAACGTGGGTATCTCACAAAGATTTTTTTTGTTACGCCCTTGTCTTCTATTCTCGCCCTTTCAATTACGAATTTTATCCATATCTCCTGGTTTCTATAAGCACGAGCTCTCCTTGAGTGTTTGTCGCGTTTGTAATTTCTTCTTCCAGCGGCGGAGTCGTTGATGTATGTGGGGTCTTTGGGCGGTTTCAAAGAAGTTCTTGCATGTCGATATTTTCTTTGGCGAATATCGCCATCTGTAATCCAACTGTCCGTTTTGACTGTTCTAATTGGGTTTCCGTTTTGTGCTTGTGCCAGAGTGGTGGAATATTTAGAGAATTTTTTTGAACCTGAACTGCGTTATGTCGTAAAGGGACTTTCTTGCCTCAAAATTATTGCAAACTTTGACGTCTCTTCCATAAGGCGTAAAACTTGAAAAAGAAGAGGAGAAGGCGAGTAAAGTCTCTTGCAGTTTTTCTTGTGTTCAAATCCTAGAAGAATCATGCCATATTTCAGCTAAGGAGTTTAACATTTCCCTGGTGCCGTGATTACTTCAGCTGATTACTTTGGCATACAAGGTCAAAAATTGATTTTTACATGAATATTTTAGAATGTACAAATACAAATAAATATACATCTAGGGTTAAACAAATAAAAAAACATCTAGGGTTAAACATCCGGACTAAACACTGCGTGTCAAATTGAGGATTTTATGCGCAGCGCTGTTCTTAATTTGTTCTTAATTTGGTCAAGCTAGAGGGAATGAAGTTAACTGGAACTTTTTGGGTTGATTGTCTTGAGTGTTGTAGCCATTCCGCGATTGAGAGCCTTAAATAAAGTATTCACTCTGGGTGTTTTTGGTTATCGGGGTGAGAGCGCTTGAAATACCTATCTTTACTCAAAAGTGAGTATCTTGAGTAAAGCGTATCTTAACCCAAAAGTGAGTATCTTGTGAGTATATTGAGTAAAGCGTATCTTCACTCAAAAGTGAGTATCTTGAGTAAAGCGTATCTTTACCCAAAAGTGAGTATCTTGTGAGTATATTGAGTAAAGCGTATCTTCACTCAAAAGTGAGTATCTTGAGTAAAGCGTATCTTTACCCAAAAGTGAGTATCTTGTGAGTATATTGAGTAAAGCGTATCTTTACTCAAAAGTGACCCCCGAACGCTCTTTTCTGGTCATCGTTTCGGTTATTTTCCTCTTCTCTCAACTCTGCTAAGTTGATCCGGCTCCTTTATTGTTGTGATTCTTACCATTTGTTTTATTTCACTAATTACTTTAAAGTATCTTAACTGGTTAATCTTAATTTGACCTTGCTATCTTCATTCTCTCCGACGGAGAGAATGACCGTTAACTTTTTTAATGTAAATAATACAGATCATCATTATCCTTCGGAACAACCAGATGTACATATTGACCACGCCAATAGAGAATGCTGTGGAGTAATCAACGCATGGTCAGAGTCTGGACATAGCGATAACGATGACTACTCTGTATTAAACGTAACAACTATCTACGACGATCAAGGAAAGGAACTGAAGAAACTACTAAACATCGGCTTAGGAAATGAAAACCAAGTAATTCTCAATATACAGGTGGATTCAGCAAGCCCTGTAAGCTTCCTTAAACAGAATGTGTTACACGAGTTGAAACTACGAGACCCCTACGTGAAAATATACTCTATTGTGGATTTACGAACAATGCAATAAATATCACTGGAAAAGTAATTGTCCCAATTTTCTCAAATGGATGGTCCCACAAGGAATGTCACTTCTTCCTAACTCAAGGTCATGAAAGAAATATCTTGGGAAATGACAATTTACCAAAAGTCGGAATCGAAGTTTCACAAAAACAATACGCAACATTCACCAACAAGAGAACTTGTAAGTCTATCAATTCAGTTACCTCACTTGACATAGATAATGAAAAAGAAATGATTGGAAAAACCTTCAAACAACTATTCCTTCGGATTGGAAAAATAAAAAATCAAACAAAAATAACACACTTTCATGAACTATTAAAGCCAATTCAATTAAAAGGCAGGAGGGTCCCTTTACACTTACTGGATTCAGTAAAAACAGAATTATACAGGCTTAAATCCGAAGGACACATCAAAAAATTAGAAAACTGTGACGAGGATAGATTTATTAGTCCGATAGTTATTACTTGTAAAAAAGACAAATCGATAAAGCTAGCCCTAGATTCAAAATTTATCAACAAACAAATCTACAAGAACAAATATCAGATGCCTAATATACACGAATTAGTTGATAACGTAGCGGCTCAAATTTCAAACAATTCCGTCGGAGAAGTATGGTTTACAAACCTAGACCTAAAGAACGCATATAGTCAACTTGCGCTGGACAATTTTACTAGCAGCCAATGCAATTTTAGTCTAGTCGGCGGAGATATAACAGGCACTTATCAATTTTTAACGGGTTTTTACGGACTCGGCGATATGCCAAACGAGTTTCAGAGAGTCATGGACTCAACTTTGGGAAATATTCCTTTTACAAATTGTTACCTCGACGACATATTAGTGGCTTCCAAAGGAAGTTTTAACGATCACAAGAAAATCGTTTATAAAATTTTATCAACGTTAGACACTTACAATTTCGCAGTTAAATGGTCGAAGTGCAAATTCTTCCAAAAAGAAATCGAATGGCTCGGTTTTAAAATATCGAAATCTGGAATCGCCCCACTATTCGATGAAACCAAAGCAATTAAAGATATTCCAATCTCAAAGAATCTAAAAGAACTAAGATCATTCTTCGGGTCAACTAATCAGTACCTTAAATTTGTACCAAATTTAGCATCCCTCGGAAGCCCGCTTAGACTTCTTTTAAACAAGAAGTCAATTTTGCTTTGGAATGAAGATCACTCAAAAGCTTTTGTCAAGATTAAATCTGAAAAAGTAAATCTTACCGAAAACACTCATTTCGACGTAAAAAAGCCCACGAGAGTAAAAACAGATGCTTCACATAATGGGTTGGGAGCATCCCTTGAACAACTTCATGAGAAGGTTTGGAAAACAGTGTCATTTGCTTCAAGATTTTTAAATCCGCATGAATCCAAATATTCAACAAACGAATTAGAGTTATTAGGAGTCGTATGGGCGGTCGAACATTACAAAAATTATCTCTACGGCTCTGAATTTGAAATTATCACCGACCACAAAGCTCTCCTTTCCGCTTTGTCACCAAATCACGGAAACAAAACATACCATAGCCGATTGACAAGATGGGTAGATCGTCTCCTACCATTCAATTTTACTATCAAACATTTAGCGGGAAAAGATATGGGTTTTACAGACTTAATTTCAAGAACTCCTTCGGGTAAAGCAATTCCCTCATCACATTACGACGAAGAATTTGTAGTTGCTACTACCAAAAAAATATATAATGCACTCAATCCTTTGGATAATGAAAATCCATTACGTAATTCAATTAATTCGATTTCGGAAAATTCCAATTACACAAAATTACGAAATCACGTAATAATTACAGCATTGAATTTCGTCAACTCTTCCATTTCAATCTGCAATCAAAAACACTATAGAACAGAACTTTGTAACTCTAAATGTATTCCTTCGGATTTCTCAAACACTGATTTTACTAAAATTTTTCTATCAAATTCAGCCTTTATCTATTTTTTAATTCTTAACAGTAGCTTAATTAGTAATCCTTTGGATCTCAAACTTATAAATAGTGTAAATATGTCAAATAACCAAATTGTAGTAAATCCTTCCACTTCCGGGATACAGGTCTCTATCGATTTTCAAATTTCCTCAGAACACAAGAAGTTAGTAACTAAATTCCGAGAAAACCTCAAGTTACCTGAAAGACCTTTGGATTTAAATACATTATTCAATGCAAAATTGGTCGCTTTATTAACGGAAGATGATGAATTGTTAAACACAATTGTGAAAACTCTACAGAAAAAAGTAGATAACATCAACTCAAATTCCCGTTACTTACACCAATTTTCGAAAGACCTTCATGAATCCGACGGACTATTATATATGGATGGAAAATTGGTTATTCCGTTTACACTTAGAAACGCCGTTTTAAAAACCTTACACGAATCTCACCCTGGCCAATTCGGCATGAAATACTTGGCAAAATATTATGGTGGCCACACATATATCGACAAATTTACTTCCACGGGATTAATTGCACACAATGCACTCAAACCGGTAAGAATATAAAAAGCATCATACCAACTACACAAATTAGCGAACTTCCGACCTTATTCGAACCTAATGAGGAAATAAATCTTGACTTTGCCGGCCCACTAGATAACAACTGGGGAAACAATAAATACATCTTATTGTGTATAGATCGTTTTTCAAAATTCCCTTCAGCAAAAATTACATCTTCAACGTCATCAAACACAGTAATCGAATTTCTTCAAGATTATTTCTATCTCCATGGGATTCCAAAATCTATTCGGGTCGACCACGCATCCTGCTTTACTAGTCAGGATTTTAAATTATTTGCAATTCTCTTAATATCAAACTAATATTTTGTACAGTTGGAGACCATCGTTCTAACGGTCTTGTAGAAAAACTTGTTCATACTGTAAAAATAAAATTATTAGCAATGTCATTGGATCAACAAAAACCTACATTACAAACCGCCATTTCGAAAATTATTTGGAATCTACGATCATCCTTCCAATCTAAAATTAGATGCTCACCGTTCGAAATACACTTTAATAGAAAATCGAACACGATCTGGAAACAATTGGCATCTAATAATTTATCCGGTGGATTTTTAGACAAAGGGAAGTCGATCGTAAGCAGAGAAAGGGCCCTCGACTGGAACGCTGACGATCGGATAGAGGACGGATACAAAGACTCCCTCATACCGAAAAAGAACCAGTCACCGTTGGAGAAAGGCTACGATTCAGACCTTCCTACTACTTCAAAACCTCCATCATCCCGAGTGCCCTTAAACAGTCCGTTTAAAGGTAAATTACTACGGAAAACTAACGGAAGTATAAACGGAAACCCCTTCTATAAACAACTAGGCCAGAAAATAATAAACTCAACAAAATCCACGGTTGAATGATCCGACGGAAAAATTATTAGAAAGTCGGACATCGCCATTCCAAAGTCTAAATCCTCTACAATTCGTTCATTCAAAGGAAATATCTCCTTTCCTTTTTTCTCTAACGGTGATTTACAAGTAGGTCCAAGAAATTCTTACAAACCGAAGACACAACAGACGCGGACACCAGACACTAAGACAGGAAGACACACAGAGTCGCTCACCCCGGTCACCACCAGATCTAGAGGAACGAACCAGCCTTCAAAATCCAACAAATCGAAGAAGAATCGAAATAAAGCCTCGACGTCGAATACTGGATGTTTAGCAGGTGACGAATCCATGTTCATTCCGTCGGACACGTCGGACATTAGCGATTGGGAATGGATTGCGGGAGGTTTTCCATGTAGAGAAATGATAAGAAAACGCTTCATTTCAGATAACGACAATTTTAACAAAGAACCTACCTCATCATTAGACCCTAAAACATATCAAACTAATATAAAACCTGAGATTTTAGACGAACAACCTCAACTCTCAGACACAGCGGAATGCCCAATTAGTATAAAACCAGCACCTCAAACTACCTCACACCCACCTGACGAACCTTCTACGGCCACGACAACGGAGACCCCTAACATTCCTTCGGATTTGACAAAACCATTGGTAGGAGAAAAACCGTTCGATTTCCCAGTTTTCGAGATAGAGGACTCCTCCGATGAAATTGGAACCAGCGAGGAAAGACATCCTAAGGAAACTACTACCACCGGTAACGAACTTATTTTACGACGTTCAAGTCGAAATGTTGGTCCCCCACAATTCTATGGTAAGCGATATTACATAGATATTATAGATGAGTTAGAAAACCAATCAGGCTCCGCTATTAACCCTATATCTCTGGACGAGGATGACAACTCGAGCTCCCCACACAAACATTCAGAGAGAATCCCTTGGATAATCAGACCCACATCTGCAACACACTACCGGAAGACAGTACACCGGATCTAGCATACACCCAATCTCCCGATCAATTCTCCATCGCCTCTACCGACGATTCTCTGAGAGATGCCGTGAACTGCTTTGAAAATTACATCGACTTAGATAGTGAAATTTTCAACGCCGAGCTAGAAAAATTCATGGAAGGGGACAGCTAAACTCAATCAAACTTTAAAACTCGCATTTAGCCATTTATTTGTACTTCCATTTCGTCTAAGTGCAATTAGAGCTTACCTAGCTGTAACTACTGATTACAATCCGCCGGATTTAGGAATTTTATTATCCTTTCTAATCCAGTAATTCCTTCGGAGCACTAAAATTACATTTTGTTAAACCGTGCAGTATTTAAATTTTCATTTTGTCGGACTTCTCGAGAGGGAGAAAAAGGGTTAGATAACATGTTAGGTATCATGGCGCTTAGTACTTAATTTTTTTCCCACTAAGGGGAATGTTGTGATTCTTACCATTTGTTTTATTTCACTAATTACTTTAAAGTATCTTAACTGGTTAATCTTAATTTGACCTTGCTATCTTCATTCTCTCCGACGGAGAGAATGACCGTTCACTTTTTTAATGTTTTAACTTAGAGATTAATTCACTTTTTAAACATATCTTATTTGTAACTAAGTAGAATTAACCGTAACAAAGGAACATTTTATCATTTATCATGCAAAATGATTTTTTTTGTAGTCAGAAAAAAATTGAATCAAACTATTCATACTGCATTAAATTTTGGAGAGGACAGCCAACGGGATCAGGGGATCCACCAGGGTTCTGTCACTAAAATTCCCGCACGTTGACATTGTTGCTGACTGACCCTAAAACTTTTCTGAAGGCCAAAAAACGCGATTTTTTTGTCAACAATTTCCTAAAAGTGCCTATTAACGCCTTTTTTGCCTGTTTTTTCAAAAAATTGCCTGTGCTGCTGAAAATTTGGTCAAAGTAGGATCTTTATTGTGACTTGAGAGAGCTCAGAAAATTAATTTGGTCGACCTAACAAAAGGTCGTTAAAGTTTTCGATTATTCCACCAACTTTTTCCCAGAATGCGTCAAATCCGAGGTAGGCGGAGTACGTGTATGACTCCGCCTATAAAAGTATTCTCCGAGCGATCCGTAAAACATGATGTAAAATTAAATTGAATTAAATACTTAGACTTTGATCAACTGATAAATACACGGTATCTATTAAAATGAATCTCAATCGAATCTCCAGACTATTATTAATTTTTCACTCCAATTTCTCATTTGAGGTCGTATTGTCTGTCGTATGTTCGCATTAAGTTCGTTTACTTCGCTCACAGCAACAATTTTTTTGATTTAAATGAATTTTTTTTAGTTCTGGCGACTTGACAAAATGATTCGTGGAAAATCAAGTGGGTACCATATTAGATCACTTTTGTTCTTGATTTCGATATCAAAATAAAATTATAATTTTTTTCCTCAGTGTTGGAAAAACTGCTCTTTTTGAAACTCAAACACACATATAATGTACTTAAGAGTTGGTAGTAAAGAGCTGGAATTTTTGATCTAATTGATTTCTTTTTCCCTGCAAAAAGCACAGTGATCGAATAGTCTTGTTTGTTGATAGGAACTCAAACACTTCTTTGAGCAATCAATTACAGCAGTATAGTTTCAGCTCTTTAAATATAGGTTCAATTGTGTTCAGCAACTTTTTCAAGTTTTCACATTGCTGCACGGTCAAATTTTCCTCGGTGAAGACTGACTTCTTTGAGCTGAACGAAGTAGCTTTCAATGCTGAGCCGTAGAAGTCAATTGTAAAGTTGGTTTTTGGAGCTACCCAATTCCTATTCTTTTGTAGATCCGGGGGAACCCACCAGTGTTTTGGGAACACTTCATAAGCTGGCATATTTTTCAAACTTTCAGCATCAAAAGGTAATTCGCCAAACTCGCATAAACGTTTCACAAAGTGCTCAGACGTTTCTGCATTGAGATCTGTTGAATCAAACACTTTGAAAGTTCTTCCAGAAGATTCTAGAAATTCTTCATGTCCAAGAGCGCTCTCCAATATTGTTCCAAGTTGAAATCGTGATGGCTATAATACTCGATGTAAGGGATTGTTTTCCCGTCCAAAGGTAACGCCGATAAAGCACATTCAATTGGGTTACGAATCAAAATGACGTGTTTGACACATTGATCGCCTACCCATGGCTCAAATGAACTAGAACGTGGTAGAAGTATAATATCTGGGTCCCCTAAATACTCTTTTATTATTATCATTCAAAATTTATATTTTCTATTCCAAATACACCGTTCGAAGGCTAGATCTCATCGACCATTGTTTTTTCTTACTAAGATGCTGATCAAACACAAAAAGAATCACTTGAACTTTAAAAAATGGAACCAGTTTAAAACTAGTATTTTTAACCAATTATATTCTTGATAAAACTATCTCTATAAATTATTTCTTACCAACCAATCATGATCCATAACTAACACTGACAATTATTTGTAGTGCTGAAACTACTTGTAATTTCAGCACCAGAACAATTTGAAAAAGACTGCTCGTATCAGGGCGAAGCCCTGAAAGTTGCAACTGCCTTTTAACGTTTATGGAGCAGTAGTTACATAAAAGAATTAAATGAAATAAAATAAAATGAAAAAATTTTTTTTCTAAAATTTGAAAATTCTATGCAAATTATCCCCCACACGCCATATAAAGTACAAAACAATAGATTTCGCTCCGTGAAACAAATCAACTAGGGCGAACAAGCTTCTTTCAACCAATTTGGAACGATTTCTAAGACGGATTAAATCTCCACTTACGCGTTAATAGCGCGAAATATATCGCGTGTTAATTGCCCCCCCCCCCCCCCCGCACAGAGCGCCCATGGATCATACTCGATTATATTGTCATAATATGGTCAGCATCTATAAAATGACAAAATAATCGACTATAATCCCAATAAAATCCATTCAATGCCAAATTTCAAACCCTCATAATTTTACGAAAAATGATCACAGGTGAAATATCTTTTCAAATTTAAGCTCAGGACAACAATAGCTTTCGAATGATATAAAAAAGTTCCGTCAAAAATGGCTAGTTAAAAAGTCGACATTTGTCTGAAGAAAAAAAAACCCACCCCGAGCACAAATATTCCGTTACTTTCGTATCGAAAGTCTGAACAATAAATCTTAGAAGACAGTTATTCTCCTTTAGAACAAGTTCCATAAACCTAACTCGCGAATACCAGTATACACTAGATCTATTGAGACTAGGAGATATAAGAGTAAGATTAGGATCGGTATTAGGCTAAGAAGTTGCACGAATCTATCCGAAAATAAGATAGCTTGACGAGCAGACGGTGTACCTTTATCTGAAGTTACTCTATGAGTAAGCTACCTCTGGCTTCAACTCAAAAAGTTGAGATCAAATAGATTTGGTTACAGCTTGCACATTTTGTCAACTGGTCTTTTGGACTTTATTGAACTGACCCTTTTGATTTTGTAACCTTTTGAGGGACTTGGCTGTTATACTTATACGCTTTTTACCTGTCAGGTATGTAAACAGGGTGATCTTTCAAAATGGAGCTTGTCTTCGACCCAAAGAAATTTGTCGTCAAAATCGTTTTCAAACCGGAGAAATTTGACTCAAGTTGTTTGAAATATGTGAAAGCAAATGGTTCGTAGAAGCATTTCACGTCTTCGTTAAGGGTAAGTGACTTTGCTAAGATTATTCCCTTTGTTCTAGGAACTGTCCAAATCATACATTTACTCATTTCGACGATTCTTCTAAATTACCGCTTCCGATCAGTAATTGAAAACGAAATAATATCAAACTTTGAATATGAGCGTTCCAATGGATATATGACAAATAACTAAAACTGAAAGCGGGTTAAATATTTTAAAAAATTTTAGCCCAATAATGCAAACTAATTAGAAGAACTAAAAAGAAGATAATGAAGTACACTTTAATGAAACCATAACCTTTAACCCAGCCGAATAGCAAATTTTAATCTTTAATTTTTCATTACATTGATTTGTATCAAGTCTGCACAAAAATAAACGATGAAGAAAACATGCTTTTCTTTAACACTCATTGACTAGATTTACGTTCGAATGACGTTCGAATTACGTCTAGATGTACAAACACAAAGTACTGTATATCTACATGTAAGCAATATATATCTAAATGTCTTTTTGGCTTGCTTTTCGAAAAATTTGACAAAATAGGGACCTCGTAGTATTTTCGGGGAGCTCGAAAAATCAAATTGATCGACCTAAAAAAAGGTGCGCAAAGTTTTAAAATTTTTTGAAAAACTGCCCCCCTTAGAAAAACTTCTGCGCACGCCACTGCATGTACGGTCTTAAAAAAATCTAAACCAACTCTCTTTGTTAATTTTGTGTTAAACTTTTATCATTTAAGTGTTTTCAGTAGTCCCTTTTTTTTGCATTTTCATTATTTACATTTTTGTTTTTGTGATTCAACTACAATTTTGGAGCCAGACTTCTCGTATTCTTTGATAACTTTGTTATGTTTCATTATAATGTTGTCTCTTGTGTTTCAAAGTGTTTTAAAGAGATGGTTGAAAATCGATATCTCCCTTTCAAATACTATGTCTATAGTATGTTAGGACCATTTTTTTCTGAAGTCAAAAAATCCGGGTTGAAAATGCAGGAACGCTCATAAAAATCGTAATGATAATCATAATAAAAATTATAACAAAAAATTGTTTTATTGCATTTCCATTGTGGGTAGTTCGTAAGTTTACAAACCACTCCAACCTTTCTACAGCCTAGAAGAGCACCATTGGACCTACAGATCCGTTCACAGGTGTCTCAGAGCAGAAAATTGTTAGGTAATGTTTGACATTGGATGAAGAATAAACTCTCAAATTTTCAAAATGAATCATTACTAATTGAGTTTCAATTTCTATTGGTTTTTGCCAAAAAAAACGGGAAAAGGAACTTTAAGAGGAATAAAATAAGAAAATCATGGGTCTTACTTAACTAAAATATCATGGAACCTTAATTAGAAAAAAAGTTTTCAGAAGAAGTCGTTATTAAAGCAGGCTAATAAATAATGATTGAATAAGTTTACTTCGTATGATGAAGGTTTTTCTTTTTGTTTTTAAGTAAATTAGGTTGATGATTCAGGATAAGGGTTATCATTTTTTCTAACCCAACAGCAATTGACTTAATTGAGTTTTCGTGTACGCCTGCTGGTAGTCTTCCTGCTATTCTGCGCATCTCTGAAACCTTGTTCACTGCATTATCAGCAATAAGCTCATTCACCATTTGAAGAGATTTTTCACATCTGAGAGTTTAGACGCTGTTCTAACTTTTTCATACAAATGGAGTTCAGTAGCAAAAAAAAACTTACTTCTCAATCTCTGACTTTAGTTTGACTGGTATTTGTGTGCTCGTGAGATAATACTGAACAAGCGCCTCATTTTTGTATCTAGAAAACCAACTTTGGTCTTCTTTGTGGGCCCGTGCGCCAAGACGTCATACTGTAAATTAGGTTGCGCGAATGTTCATCTATATAAATTTAAGATATCAAAAAAAACTTCTTTTGGTCAATTGGCTTATCATTTAAACTTTTCCGCTTGGTTTTGCTAAAAATTAATAAGGTTTTTGTTTTATCTGCATTCAGTGTAAACTTGTTTTTATTTTTAACCTTTTTTCTGTTTTATTCGCAGCAGCCTGGTATTCAGCATGCCCATTTTTTAACTGTGTACATGTCCTAATTACAGTGTCATCTGCATATAGTATAAATTTTGTGTTTTCCTGGTTTTATTCGATATCAATCACAAAAATTATAAAAAACAGTGGACAAAGAATAAATAATTGATGTACATCGAAGCGAAGTTCTTTTAGTTATGAGTTTGCGTGTTTTTTGGCTATATATTACTTCCTAGGACACAAATAAGATATTAAAGCTAACCAAATGTTCTTTTTGGACCATAGGACGTTCATTTTTCCAATAGAAGTGTGTGATCTACTTTATCGAATGCTTTTTACAATTGTATGATTGTGCTCTGTGTCAGTTTTGTTTGATCGTGAAAATTTCGTCAACTGTTCCACAAGAGAACCGAAAACCAATTTTTTTTGAGTGAGTCAAATGTTTTGAAATATGATATCACTTAGTTGCCTATATGAGTTTAATTACTAGTGGCAGTAGGGTATTGGTCTAAAATTTGAATCTACTGGATTACCCTCTTTTTAGTTTAGATTATGTTCAGCTCATTTAAGGCAATCTGGCAAAATAACATTATCAAAGCAATCCTGGTTAAAATTGGTGCAATAGCCTAGTCAAAATGTTTCGAAAAGTTGTTACTCAAACTATAAAAGTTCTGCTTACACTCTGCCATCACAGATAGCCTTCAGTAAGACTCTCGTGCGTGAACTACAGATGTTTTGCTTGCATAAATCTAGTTTTTGGAAATTATACATCTTAGATAAGTTTAAATCAGAAGCTTTCAGTTTTCAATTAAATGAGATCATTTTGGTCATCAAAACTTTAAGTTTTTGGATAAAAAGATTATTCATACGAGTTCCATTCATGAAAATTTTTAATTAACTCTTTTTTCAAAAAAGAAATCAAAACTGAGGAAATTTTTTAAAGTTCTCATTCGAGTCGCGACACCAGTTTTTGATTTTAAAAAAATTCTCAAAACTTGATATTTGCATGCAAAATTTTCGAGTTTTTGCAAATAACGTAGTCCCCGCACTATCTTTTTTCATGAATTTGTCGAGGGTTGCATTGACCGCTCTCTGTGGTGGTAGAACTGTACCGAATATTTCAAAACAGAGGCTTTGTAACGAAAAAATTGTTCCGTTAAAGTTTTATTTACTTGGCACTCAGCAAAATTCAGTTTTAACTGCAATTTCAATGCAGTTTAACCTGCTGGTTTTCTAATGCGAAGATTTATTGGTTTTTGTGTTCAGGACGAAGCACGATTAAAAAACAAAACACAAAAAAATACATGAAAAAATGCTAATCATACTGCTCCGTACTATCGAAAGAATGCCTGTCACATAATTCCATTCCATGAACACCAAGTTTATCAGGTGATTTTCATAATTTTCTTTTCTACTAATTTAGTGAAATTGTCTGACAAGCATTTTTTCCTTACTTTGGAATTGTATGACTAGCATTTTTTTGTGGTATTTTTTTTGTGCTTTGCTTTATAATCGTGTTTCGCACTGAACATAAACACCGACATGTCATCGCTTGAGAAAATCAACAGGGTAAACTGCATTGAAGTTGCAGTAAAAACTACCTTTTGCTAGATGCCAAGTCTGTTAAAAGTTGAATATCACTTAAATTGAATTTCAATTAAAAGTTTTTTTTTTTTTTAAATTATTTTTTATCTGGGTACAATGGCTGTGTTTTGAAAATTTCCTTCTATGTGAGGGCTGGAAAAATGTCATCATCTAGAATACGCGAAATTAACTACTCAGGGAACGTATGTAACTTATTGAGACGATCAAAAATCATGCTTTGCTTCGAAAAAAAAACATTTAAAAAATTGTTTAAGTGACGAAAAAATTGTTGCGCATAAGTTTTTTATGCAGGCTTCCAAAATAATTTTGAAATTTTTTTTCCGTATAGCTAAGATCAACAATGGAAAGTTTCACTACATTTTCTCTATAATAGACTGGAATGGTCACAATTTTTTTTTCGATGGATTGTCAAATTATTTTTTTGCCTAGTTTTGTTAGTTTTACCGACGTGTGTTTTCGTGTGTGTTTGTGTTACCACTCTGAGATTTTTAGATGCGGGTTTTAAAATTACAATTGTGTAAATTTACCCTTTTTTTCAAGAGACCAATGTTTTAGTTTGGACTCTTTTACGTTTTGTTGTAAATTGAATCAGCACTTGAAATGAACACAGCACAGCATTGATTTTTTTTTTCAAACTGGACTGAATTAGATTGAAAAAGTAAATGATTTTGATCTGCCATCGTAAGTTTCAATCATGATAAAGAATGAGGGTAGGGAATGCTTATTTTTTTGCTAGTCATAGGGACATGTTTGGTCAAAAGTTGCATTCTTGTGAACACCTTGTTGAACAAACTGCTTGTCAAATGATTGTTAATAATGGAAAATAGCTTTATGTAAAGTTCAATACTTTTGAATAGAAGAAGCAAAAACTTTGAAAACAATTTTTGAGAGTAGCATTTTTTCATAAGGTTAAAGAGACTTTCTTCATCAGTGGAATTGTATGACTAGCATTTTTTCCATAAACGAAAACTGCATTACAGATATTTTTTCCACCGATACAAAAAATGTTTTTATAATTTTATGTTTTGCTTTTTATTTTGTTTTGTTTTAAAAGACAACAACCAAAAAGTACTCAAATCATAAACCCAATAGGTTAACAGGCGTTCAAATTGCAGATCGAATTGAGATATTCCAGGTAGCTAAACTATTTCACACTCTATTTTGAGAAAGAAGAAGTTGTTTTCTTTATCTGGCGTTAAAATTTTTCGGAAAAGTTTTAGTATGAAAATTGTGGCCAGTTTTAGGAAATTATATTGTTTATGCATTATCTAATAACAAAAACACTAATTCAATTTTTGCGGCAAACCTTCCTTGTGGTTTTTGATTTGTCTGTGTAAAAAGACTCAGCTTTGTCTACAATTTAGGCGAAAAACTTGAATTTTTTGCCTGCAAACATTTGTTGGAAACTGTCTGAAATCGTTTAACGACCGATATAAGGTATAATCAGTTCTCCTCAACTTTGGACTTTTGTATCAAAATTGCTCTTATCATCCAGTTTTTACAAAATGGTTTTTTAAAATTTTATAAAAATTTATTTTCCAAGCAAAGCAAAATCGAATTTTTGAGGAACACCGGTCTCAGCAATCTTGTTCTGTTTTATGCGAAATTGCCTTTATGCGAAAAATATCAATTAAAGATTTTTTGATATGTCAGTCACATCCATTTGTCAAAATAGAGAATTTGAGAAAATCATATTGGTGTTTGTGTACCTACCAATTGGTAGCGGGGAAACTTTTTGTGATTTATTATGTTTATGAAATTACATTTTAAATACCTGCTGCAGTATATTTGAGCTTACCTTTCACCTTGAAGGTTGACTAATGAACGCAGCACTCAATAAAACTAAACGTGAGACGTTGAAAAAAAGAATTTAGATTTAATTAGCTGATGCTCTTATCATAATCTAGATCAACAAACCAGAGAGGAATTATCAGAAAGTAAGTTTATCTTATACTGAGTTATGATCGTGAAACTTGCCTTTGTAAAACGTGGTCACATGATAGATGCATTGAGATGATTGTTACGATTTGGTAACATCTCCACCTCTCAAGTGAATGATAAATTTTTTCCATGCAAAACGGTGCTAAACTTTTGAGGAGCACCGTACTCTCAGTCAGAATATTAGTTTTTTTTTCAAATTGTCCAATAGAAATGTGAAGATTTTTTATTTGTTTCTTATGGAAAAAAGGTGGTTGTGCAATTTTTATAATTGGAAAATGTATGATACTTATTTGTTTCAGATTTCATTAAATGAATGTTAAGCATTTTTGAATGGATTTTTTTTTTCATAATTTGGTTTTTGACTCGTTTTTTTTCTACCTGAAAAAATTAGGATAGAAACCTGAGTTTTGAGTTTTTACAAAATGGTTTTTGAGAAAATTGATTTTTTGTAATTCACGCTATTTAAAATTTGTGTTTTTTGATCCTTGTACTAAGGTGTTACAAATGAGTCACATCCATATATCCAAACAAAGATTTTGACAAAATCGTTTTGGTGTATGCGTACTTACCAATTGGCACTAGGGATTGTTTTGTGATTCGTAACGTTTATGACTTTATTTTATTACAAACCCGCTGCAGTAAACTTGACATTACCTTCACCTTGAGGGTTGGCTAACGAAGGCAGCTTTCAATAAAACTTAACTTCAGTGGTTAAAAAAATGAATTCAGTTTAGAATTAGCTGATAATCTTAATATAACCTAGATTGACCAACCAGGGAGCAATTACCAAAAAATAAAGATATCTTATACTGAGTTATGATCATGAAACTTGCCTTAAAAAACGTGGTCCTATGATAGATGCATTGAGATGATTGTTACGATTAAGTGAGTGGTGCTGATTTAGTAACATCTCGGCGACTCAAATGAATGATCAGAAACTTTTCCCATGCGGAGGAGCATCGTACTCTCAGTCAGAAAATTAGTTTTTTTTTCAAATTGTCCAATAGAAATGCGAAGGTTTTTTAAATTTGTTTCTTATGAAGAAAAAAGTCATGCTATGAATGGAAATTGGAAATTGTAAGACCATGGTCCGTTGTTGTTGCTTGAGGGTATGGCAACATAGCGCAGACCAGAAAAAAAACCAAAATACGGCTTGTATATCTTAACAAGGATTACAATTATAGTTTTCAGTAAATTTAATTTTAATGTCGTTTCTGCGATCCACAGAGGAGATATAGGAGGCGATTTGACGCTCATGATATTACACGATTTGACGCTCATGAAGTGAATGATTTACCACTACTAAAATTGCCGAAATGTTAAGAGTTGAACTACTCATATCTTGGTATTTTTCTTTGTCAAAAAACAGTTTTAATTTCCAAAAGCCTCGAAAGATCAATTAGCAGATGTGTATTTATTTATTGTCAGATAAGATAAGGATTTTGTATTCTATTATTTTCTGTTTTTGTCATGTAAATATCATATAAAATGACCAAAATTTATTTTTAGTCTTTGTTTTAGCTTGGTATTCTTTTTAAAAATTGTAATCAAGGCAAGCTATTCAAAGAAGAAAAAGAAGAGCTGCTTCTGTTGTATGCCAAATTGACAAAAAACAACCATCCTAGATGACTTCATTTTTTCACCTGCAATCAGGAAAACTCCAGGAAACAAAACAAAACCCAGAACTTTTTGGGAAAAAAGCAAGTTTGAGAAAAATTGGGAAAAAAGCAAAATGAATTACCAAACACAAGCATTTAACATATTTATAATCAAATCAACGTTTAAAGCAAGAAAAAGCTCAAGTACACCGTGTAAACCAGAACCGATTAATTTTCGTTTTCTATATTGCACTCAGCTGAATTGCGAGATATCACACCTTTGCTCTACCCCATTGACCAAGCTGGCAGCACAGTTTGTCTTTGAGGCCAACCAAGGAACACTCGTTTTGCAGTTGCTTAAGATTGTTTTGCAGTTTCTCGTTTTGCAGTTGCACTTTCAATTGCCTATTTTATTTCGTTATACTTTTTTGAAAATGAATTTACCGCAACATTGTACTTTTGCTTCGTTCCTTTTAAGTGTAGTTTTAGCTCCCTAGGACAGAAACTAACAAACTAGGTCAAAACTGCGACTGGATACGACATCTACAACAACTGCAATGGTTTGTCAACGGTCAGCTAGTTTGTCAAAGATCAGCTACGACAAACTAGCCATGCCCAACAAAACCAATCTCCCCCAGAGAAATCTTCTAGAGCGCCTCTTCAGACGAGTACAAAAAGCCATCAATGACATCAATGCGGGCTACATCATAGCTGACTCAGAAACCGAGATGATAAAGTTCTGGGCAATTCGGAAGGCACCAGTATGTACCTTCTAGACCACCCGACTGAGCACGCCAATCCGGAGGATCTCATCAACAGCTTAACTGATATACAAGACGAACCCGACGACATCATGGATGATTTTGGACAGATGCTACAGTAAATACAGCAGACACAAATCCACAACAGCAAAACACTGATGCCACCACAGTTCAAGTCCCCCACACATCTGATTCAGTGCAACAACAGTCAACACTAGATCAGGATTTTAGCCAGACGTCAACATTATCCAGCAGCCGCCATCAGCCCGGATCATCAGCACAGCAAACAGTAGAGGACCATGACTCTTCAGATAGCCGAGATACTCAGCAGCAAGTCTCCCAGACAGGTTTGGAAAGAAACAGATAAAGGCTCCATCAAACAGAACATGACACCACCAACGCCAGCTTCTTCATTCCAGCAGCGGTTCATTCCAGCAGCAGACTCTCAGACATCAGGTAACGGACAGTCGCGAACGACGAGCGAGCTACAGTTTCATGACTAGATCCGCTAAAGTAAAAAAAAGAGCCTTCCGACGGAAATTCCATGAACTGAAATGTGGTTCGGACTCTTCGAAGCAACAATACACAATTAACTCATCTCGGACGCCGAAAAGATGACCCATCTGCAGACTTTAACGACTGGCAAAGCAACTCAAGCAATTTCTGGTTATTCATGCAATAGCACTATGTACAACGCTGCCCTCCAAAAACGACAACGACGACATGGACAACCCGACATCATAATCAATGACTTTGCCAACAGACTTCAGAACTTCAAGCAATCATCAACTCATCGCAGGGATTCGTACATGGAATTCTTTACATTCATCAGTAACATGGTTGAAACGTCTCGGACGCTTGCGTTTAAAGACGATTTGAACTCTACAGTATACGTACAATTTGCCGTCAGCAAATTGCAACGCCGTCAGCAGCTTCAGCGGACACAGTAGATCACCGCCCAGAACATCGACCAGTCTAATCTCATCGCCTTTTACGACTGGGTAAGACCATCGGATCTCGACCATCAACCAACCAGCCTTCACAGTAGACTTCTCGAAATTGGAGTGCGAAAGCCCGACCCCATGTCCTTTCGACGGACGGACTCACCACCCAGCATACTGCAGCAGGTATCAGAATTCATCTTTGGAAGAGAAGAAGAAACTCGTTTTAGAAAAGAAACTTTGTTACAATTGCCTTGGACACCATTTAGTTAAAGATTGACCATCAAAGCACACATGCAGCACGTGCAATCAGCATCATCACACTACACGACGAACAACGAATACAAGCAACACCAAAGTTTAATCCAAGCCAGCGACCGAATCGACCCAACCATCTTGCCAGCCAAAAGAAGATATCAAGGATCAATCAACAACTCACTGCTGCCACTTTTATCAGTAAAATTAATGTATACGCCTTTCTTGATGCGGGAAATAAAAACAGCTACATATCGCAACCGACAGCAGCATATCTTCAACTGGAGGAAACTAACCATCAGGAACGACTTCTCGTAGGAGGTTTCTTCAACTCGCAAATGATGGAGGCTAATACAGTGGATATAACACTTCATTCATTTGGAAATAACACTTTAGCGTTTGAACTAAATAATGTTCTAGTCGAAGAGCGCATCAACCTAAATGCAGCGGTGCCCAAAAAGTGTTGAACGACATCTGCAGCCAATACGACCACTTAAAGATATATGTTTTCCAGACTTTAACAACAACAACAACAACAACAATGCCCTTGTGATTGGAACGGACAATATTGACATCATCAGCCCAAAAACTATCATCAAAGGAAATCGAAATGTTTCTCGAGCAGCACTTACAACCCGAGAAAGAACAATAGCAGGACCGAACAATGACATTGGACAATTCTCAAGCCATCTAGCAACAGCCACCCCAAAACAGATATCAACGGAACACACACAAATCTCGGATCTTCTCACTTCATTCTGGCGAATGGAAACCTACTCAACGATCTCGGCAAGCAATGGAAACCTACTCAAATCTATTTGACAACGATCTCAGCAAGCACTACAGAAGGAAATTAGAGTCAGATGAAAAACCTTCGACAGGATGGATTTTACCTGAACATGGTGTAATCAACCCAAACAAGCCAGGAAAACTTCGCCGTGTTTCCGAAGCCCAATCCAAATTTAAAGAAAGTTGCCTAAATGGTATGCTTCTCACTGGACATGACTTGCTCTGCAATCTACTTGGAGTAATTACCAGGCTTCGCGAACCAAAGCAATCCATCACTTCCGACATTGAAAGGATGTACATGCAGGTTTCTGTTAAAGCCGAAGATAGAAAATTCATTCGTTTCCTCTGGGAGCGAAAAAACCCGATTTTTTAGTACACTCGATTCGTCTCTGGAGCCAAACGTTCTCCTAATTGTGCAATTTACGCATTAAGAACTTGCGCAGACGACAATTCCGAAAGCTATCCCAACATCAAAAAATTTGTCTACGAGAGCTACAATATGGACGACTTCTTCGAAACCACCGACGACATCGACACGGCAGAAGACCTTCGACACGTACTACAACAAGGAAGCTTCAACTTGACGAAGTGAAGTACTACGAATCATAGAATTGTGCAAACAACAACAGAAGAATAT